CTTTTTTTTTTTTTTTTTTTTTTTAAGGTTCTGCGGGGTAGGGGACATTGTTGGGGGGGAGTGCACACCTCTGCAGGGTAGGGGATTGTAGCAAATGCATTGACGGGGAAGGCAATGTGGCAAGGTACTCACCTGTTAAGTTGTTATCCCTTGTTATCTGATGCAGACACAGAAACACTGCATAGCTAGCAAAACAAAACACTGCAAATGGGCAAATGACAGAAAACCACACAGGCACACTGCAACACGAGAAGAATGGACAAAATGCTAACTTAAAGACTTACTTAAATTACTTAACTGATAATGAGAAGATGAACTACAACTTCTAGAAGTTGTAGTTCACAGTTCTTACTTCGTTCCAAGTGCAACCAAACAGCGAAAGATAAACCGCGAAACCGCAAACTTTGCAGTCAGCGGCATCAACTCCGCCTAAATTTCCTAATCCTCTGCACCTCCCCGTGCAGAAGTCTCACCCTCTTCCTCTTCCTCTTCCTCCTCGCCTTCCTCTTCCTCCTCGCCTTCCTCTTCCTCCTCGCCTTCCTCTTCCTCCTCACCTTCCTCTTCCTCCTCGCCTTCCTCTTCCTCCTCCTCGTGCTCAGTTCCCTCCTCTACACTCCGCGGTTCTCCGTCGTTGGCATCATGACCTTCATCATCCCCTTCCTCTGATGAAGCTGAAGACGATGAACATGCTTTTGTGCCGTCATCGTCGATGATGTCGTCCCTCTTTCTTGCTTTTGCTGCTGCTTTTTTCTTTCCCTTGGATTTTTTTTTTTCTCGATGCTTCCAACGCTGCCTTTTTCTTCTCGGCTCGCATTGCTGCTTTTCTTGCTGCGGCCTCTTTGTTGGTCGGCTGTCATCTCTTCCGTTTCTCCGGAGGTTTAATGACCTCCTCCGCAGCACGTTCACCGTGACGGCGACCCTCATCACCGCGTCGCATTTTACGTTGCCTGCTGCTTCCACCTTCCTTTCGACCCTCCACACAATCACCCGTCTCTCGAGCCCGCAACGCAAGCTCCCGGTCCTCCTTGTTATACTGCACTTCAGGTGTTGGGCGCTCATGGCCCGACAACCTCCGCAAGGCACGCTCCAGCTGCCTCCCCGATCGAGTGTTGAAGTGCCAGTCGTCCGTGTACTTATCTATGTGCGCAAGGCCCTCCTCCTGGTCCATTGCATTGTCCACCTTGTCATTGCGCAACCACCTCCTTGCCATAGGCACTTCCTCGCCATCGTCGTCGTCCTCCAACTCGCCTTCCTCGTCCGACGTGTCATTCTCGCCACTCGGCATGCTGTTCTTCACCCGTTTCACCCAATCATTGTAGAACTGCTCTGCCTCCTCCTTCAACTCGGCGTCCGACATTTCCTCCACCCACAGAATGTGGACATCATTCACACCACGGCCGCGCTCTTGCCTCCACTGCAGGTGGAGGTTCCAATTGTTGTAGACGAGCTTTGATAGGCGGGTGGGCAGAATCCTCGTCCTCCTCCTGCCAAAAATGAGCTCATGCAGACTCCAGTTGCGTTCGCATGCCGCGGATGAGCTTGCCTGGCCCAACAGTCTGATCGCTTGGGGCTGCAAAAGATGCAGCCGCGATGCAAACACATCTAACCACATCGCCGGGGTCTTGGTGCGTGCTGCGCGCAAAGCTTCTTCTGATTGCAAGGCCCCCTTCAAGTGCACCCACTCGTCAACCTGCCAGCTTACATCATCGAACATCTCGTCTGTGCACCAGGTATACAACCATATGTTGAACCCGGCTCGGATCTCAGTGTCTCTGAAGGAGCCCTGCGATCTGTACTCCGGGTCCAAGAAGGCTGCTGCACAATGCAGCTCTGAAGTCATGAACGCCCATCGATCCATGAGGATCGATTCGACCTCTGCCTTCTCGAAGTCTGCCAAGATGTCCAGCTTGTGAATCGACTCCACCACACCATTCATTCGATGATAAACCTTGGCGATTGTTGCGCCCGGACCATCGACGAGCTTTGTGGTCCTCAAGGCCTTGTCCACCCGCTCCCAAAAGCCGCCATCCAAGATAGTCGCCGTCACCTCCTCGAATTGAGAACGCAGGTGGGGCGGCACCAGGGAGGAGACCCACCCGCTGGCAGCCAAAGTCAATTTCAGGGCATTTGCCCTGTCCCACAGCGACTGCAACATGAGGATGTTGGTCGCGAATCGAGTGACGCCCGGCCTCTTAATCTCGACACCACCCGATTTGGTAAGGAAAAGTGCTCGAACCTTGTCGTGGTTCATCACGAACTTCCCCAACACATTCCCCCTCTTCACAGTCTCCGCAAACCACAAAATGCGCTTGTCCATGTCCTCCAACGCGAGGTCAAGGGCATGCTCCGTGCAACCCACCCGGAATATCCACGGGTATTTTTTCTCCACCAACTCCCCGGCCTTCACACAAACCCGGGCATTATCCATGATCACCCCGACCACGCTTCTTGGGCCAATCTCCTCAATCGCAGTGGAGAGTATTCTGTAGTATGCACAGGCGTCTTTGTCCTTTCCCGCTATGCACACCGACTTCCAAAAGACGGTGCCGATGGGAGAGGACACCATGACGTTTACGTGTGGTCTTCCCCGCCGGTCAGACCACCCATCTACTTGCACCATACAGCTGGTGCGATCCCACTTCTTCGCCAATCTCCCAACGTCCTCGATCGCCCTCTGGTGCTGTCCATTTAATCGGCCATTGCGCGCCGCCTCTCTCGAGTGCAGTCTCCATGACGGGTGGGCCTCTCGTATGGCGTCCACCATGTCGTTGAAGAACTCGTTCTCAACCATGTTGAATGGTTGGTTCGTGCACGTCATTCAGCGGTCTACCCTTCTTAATGTCTGCTCATTCTTTGTGACGACGCTGTCGGTCTCCTCCAACAACATCTGTCGCATCCGTGCAGCAGGTGCAGCAGATGCACCTGTGCGCTGCACCGTGATACCTGGCCCGCTGCAACCCACCTCTTCGCCACAAGCAACGCCCGCTGCTTCGCCACAAGCGTCACCCACCCCTTCGACCAAACCCCCGCCCGTAGAAGCAGCCACCAAATAGGTGACAACAGGTAGGGCATTGGCACCGTCCCTCGCCATGCCCGAGTCTGTCCTTGCCTGCCGCAATCCTTCCTTCCTTCTCAAGATTTCCTCTGCGGTCAATGTTTTCGTTGATTTCTCAACTGCACAAATCCCCTTTGTGAAATGTTCCTTCAGGCGATTGAGATTGCCCGAAAATTTTAGATCGCAGTAATGGCAAACCCACCACTTTCCCCCCTTCGAAGGATCCTTGCCTGCGGGGCTAAGGACATCAAAATGGCGCTTGACAAGGCTGGCTTCATACTTGCGGCTCGACATGATGACCTGCACGCAGCAATAACAGACAAAATTAATACGAAGAAAGACAGACAAAAAAAGGGGGCCTGCACGCAGCAATAACATCAAAATGGCGGTCGACATGATGACTTGCACATGATGACCTGTACATCAAGCCCTAACGGCCCCTGCGCATCAAGC